GGGGTAGTGGTGAAAAGAAAATAGCATAGGAATGAAACGGCTGTCCAAATGTTCTCAGAACATTAGTGGACTCTATGTTCAGAAATCTTTATCCCTCATCACTGAGGAGTGAAGAATTATTGGAAATGAAAATCACCTTGCCAGCAGAAAGCTGTCTTGGTAGAACCTCACAGTTAGCAATTTGCATTTTCTTCCCCTCTGCCTTCCATGGAACCAATTCTGGGTAAAAACAACTAAATAAAACCAAAAAAGCACCACTTCAGTGATGACAATACTTGATCCAACTTTTCCGGTTAATGTGTAGGGTTATTAAGGGTAGCTTTGTTTAGGTCTGTAAAAGGTGAGGCTCCTCATCTTTTCAGTATCATTTGCTCAAATCTTTTAAAAGACATTTTGGACAACCACTTAACTCTCTATCATCATCAAATGATCTGAGAAGCACACAAAAGAAGGCTGTTCTGAGTTTTGCTATGTGACTAGACATGCAGGTGCTAATAAATGGACGATGCAAGAGCACAGTCCCAGGAAGAAAGAAAGAGCCAGTAAGTCCAACTTTGTAAAACTTCATCTCAGGGTATGACCAGGCCAGTTTCAACAGCCACTCCCCCATGTCCCACAGAACCCAACCCAGCCAGCCCTGCATCATCCTGTTCTCACGGGAGTGTTCTTGGGAGTAACACCAAGCCACTTTCCAGCAAAGTCTTCAGGGGTCAATCAGGGATATGTTGTCTTTCAACCACTCTGGCTGCCTTGCTCTCCAGAAATAACGACAAGCATGTGTTTTTAAAATCAGCTTTCCTTCTTTTCTAAGACAAGAACTGGAGCACTGCCTTAGCGTATTTTCTCTGCCATTAAACCAAAAGAATTTTAGTTTCCATTGAAATAACACTGAAGTTTCTATTTTTCATCTAACATTCTTTCTTTGAACACTTTTCATTTTCTCAATCAGCAATGTCTAGCTACTCATATTTTAAATCATTTTTATTACAAGTAGAAAATTCATGTTAAAAAAAAAAAATCACAAAGAAGACCCAACCAAAAGTCAGTCCCTTTATGGCTAGATTGGAAACACGTCGTATCAAGACTTTAAATTAAGTGATCCATTGGCTGTGATATGAGAATGGATATAAATATACATTTTCCAATAATATTCATTATAGACAGTCTGAAAACTGAAGAAAATAAAAACGTCTTATCACATCTGCCAACAATAGAAACATGCCATTTGCCAGGCACACTTTTACTTCAATATCAACATATAATTTTTTGAAAATTCAGTTTTGTATTAACAACTTTGTACAACTTAAAAATGTTATGGTAAGCCAGGTGTAGTGGCATAGGCCTTTAATCACAGCACTCAGGAGGCAGAGGCAGGATGATTTCTGTGAGTTGGAGGCCAGCCTGTTCTACATAATGAGTTCCAGGCCAGGTGAGGCAGCAGGGAGACCCTGCCACAAAAAAGAAAAAAAAAGAAAAGAAAAAACTTGTGAAGAATAATTTCTCATTTTAGTAAATTATCCTGAAAAGTGGGCTTTAAAAATTTTATTTTATTTATTTATTTATTTATTTATTTATTTATTTATTTATTTATTTATTTATTGGTCTTTTTGAGACAGGGTCTTCCTGTAGCCCCAACTGCCCTGGAACTTGCTATATAGACCAGGCTGGCCTTGATCTCACAGAGATCCACCTATCTCTGCCTCCTGATTACTGGTATTAAAGGTATGGGTCACCTTTTACTTTACTTTTTTTGAGGCAGGGTCTTGCTATAGTGTCTAGGCTAGCCTTAAACTCTTATTCTGTCTCAACCATACCAGCAACTGAAATGAGTCACTTTAGACTTTACTTGACTCAAAAGCCCGAAATTGTAATGTTTACATGCTATTGACAGGCTGTTCATATATTTTATGTAAATGTTTCAAGTAACCAACATATAAATGTATACAAATCAGTAAGAAAAACCCAAAATCTTAACAGTAAAATATGTAATTATCAAAAGCTACATAACAATTTATAGCAAATAATTTCTCTAATGTATCATCTGGCTTATGTGTTAACAAAGACTTGTGTATGTTCAAGGTTGAAGCTCCACCAGGCTTTTCTTTGTGGTTGGTACCATTTGTGCTTAGTATCTTTCAGGAATTCCTGAGTTTCCATGTACTGAAAACCCCTCCTCCTTGTTTACTCAGCCACTCACAGAAGCATGCACTTACATGGCTACAGATATATATGCATACCTTTTCTGTCATCTCATGGAATGTGGGGTATGGACAAGCTGGTGCTGGTGGTGCAGTTAAAGAATACACTGGGTTAACTAAGCATTTTAATCAGTTTCTCAGTTTCATTATTTGCTAATCTATGTGTACTCTGAATTACTATAGCCACTTCTCTTCCATCTCAGACCTGTAGCTCTAACTCCTTCTTGCTGTCTCTCCTGGAATATCCTCTAGGCAGCTCAACCAACATGTCCAAAGGGGAATTATGTTCTTACCTATGGTTTCTCTACTTAGGCATTGAACACATACTAGAACTCTGAACAAATCCTTAACAATCTCTTTCCCTCACTTATCAGCTAGTCCTACAAAACAGACTCCTTTCTGCTTTAGCTACCATCAACTGATCTAGGCACTATCATCTTGCACTTGGCTAGTTGAACAGCAACTTCAGCCAGCCTTACTGCTTTTCCTTTTCTACCTTAATTTTTCTCGCCAGACTGGCCAAAGTTAATGTTTAAAAATACAAATCATTGGGGCTGGAGAGATGGCTCAGCAGTTAAGTACACTGGTTGTTCTTGCAGAAGACCTGGGTCCGAATCCCAGCACCCGCATGGCAGCTAACAACTGTCCATAACTCCAGTCCCAGGGGATCCGACAGCCTCTTCTGTCCTCTTCAGGCATTGCACAACACGGGTGCACTTACCTACATGCAGGCAATACACATACACATAAAATAAAAATAATAAATAAAAAAACATTAAAAAAAATACAAATCATGTCATTACCTTGATTAGAGCTCTTCTATGACTTCTCACTCTGTTGGAATAAATTCCAAATGCTTCCAAATTAAACACTCTCTCTGAATTCAAACCTGGAGCTTCGTCCTCTGCTAATTGTTTCTTAAATACTGCTTTCATGTCAAAGATCTATTAGGCTTCCTGGGTTCTATAAATCTGAAATATTTCTCTTTTCCTTAATCTACTACCTTAAGATGTTCCAAAACTCATCTTAAATTAACATAACTATAATTCCACTCACAATTAACTATGTCATAAAACTGCTAGGTTACACTCTTTAGATACCAGACATTTCTATCTACTGTTAAATAGATCCCTTAATAACTATCTTTACAAATGAGCAAGCTCAGTTAAACATCTTGTGCTAGTCAGGCTTTTGTTACTGTAACAAAATACCGAGCAAAGCCACCTAAGAGAAGGATTCATTTGGCTCAAGGTTTCAGTCCATCCTAGCAGGAGGTGTGATAGAGCAGAGTAGCTCACCTCATGGTGGTCAGGAAGCAGAGAGCAGCATACCTGTGCTAGCTGGCTTACCCCTGCTTCCCCTTTCACTCCATCTGAGACCCTCTCATCTATTAGGTGGTGCCACCCATGTTCAGAGTGAGTCTTTTCCCTTTAGCTAATCCTCTCTGAAAATGCCCTCACAGATATATCCAAGACCCATTATAAACTCTCAGGCATCTCTCAATCTAATCAGCATTAAATATCACAGAACTGAATGGCTCTCAGGCCAACTTACTATAAATTGAGAATATTTAGTCAAGTCTCAGTAGAAGACATGTTAATCTAACCTTTGCCACTGTGTGATCAAAGGTAAAAATTCCTAACCCCACCCCTAACCCCCAGTCAGATGATGGTGTGTGGCTGAATGATTTCTGGAGTTTCTTCCATTTCTAGTAATCACAGACACCATGGCTTAAAATATGACTCCCTTAGAAAGAAGAATAAAAGGACATTACTCAAATCCCATGAAAATTATACAGGGAAACAATGTATTCTAGATCTAAGGTGGCTCATGCTTGTATTCCCAGCACTTGGGAAACTGAGGCAGGAAGACTGCCATAACTTTAGGTCATTCGACTACATAGTCAATTTTAGGCCAGTCTAGGCTACAGAGTAAAACCCTGTCTAAAAAACAAAACAAAAAAACCCAAAAAGGACAATTTAGGGGATGAAGATGGGAAAGGGACAAAGTCTTGCTACATTGCCCAAGCAGGTCTCAAACTCATGAATTCAAGTGATCCTCCTCCTCAGCCTCCTGAGCAGCTAGGAGTTCAAGCATGTATCACATAGTCAGCTTAAGAAAGAGTTTCATCAAAGAGGAAAATACTTTTAACCTAATCTTCCCAGAAACAACTCCATAGGTCATAAGCTCCTTCTATCATTGTGGATCCACTCTGCCAAGGTGTACTGCTGTCCTCAATCACTCAGTACATACATACAAACTCAAGAGTTGAAATACAGCAACAAAAACTACAATGACGGTGATGACCATTGTAACGACTTGAAAATTTTAGTCTATTTTCAGTAAAAACCAAAAACTAATTACAATGACAACACAGGAATGGAAATTGGGGAAAAGTTCACAGTAAATACCACAGGCTTCTCCTTAAACATCATTAAGGAGCAGGAGTTCATACTGGTTTACACAGAGCCACACTGCCCCATGGTCCACACTTCCTCCACTTCTATACACTGTTGAGAAGACAGCCTCTCCAAACTAAGTTGTTAGCCTGACCTAATGTTTTAATAGACTTTAAATATGACTACAGCCAATTTAAAGACCTGATCAAAATTATTAATACAAGGAAAAAAAAAACAAAAAGAATATCCCCCTTCTATAACAGTTTAAAACTATCTTCCCTACAAATTGTATAACATTTGAAATTGGAAATTTACTTCCAGTAACAGTCAATTGCAATGCCATGTTTGACCATGTGCTTTGTATTGATGGCTTTTAAGAATCAAATGATCCACAGTGCTTTACCTGGTACATTCCAACTCCAATGTGCTTCGGCTCAATTTTCACTAGCTCAGCTAATGGATCTTGAACACGCCTTGCTATGGAAACTGAAGAAACAGAATCAGAAAACAAATATGACTTAACGTGAAAAGCAGTACTCAGATAACTACTTAGGTTAGTTCTCATGATGTGAACACTTAATCCTACCCCTCTTATGCCCAGCTCCAAAGATCAACAATTTAATTAATTTTCAAAGCATTCTCTCTTTCCTCTTCCATGCAAAAAGGGAATGCAAGATTTCAGGATTATGTCAGCAGGACTCTCAGGCAATCTTTATTATTTTTGAGACAGGGCTCTAACACACAGTTCTAATCATGTCTTTACATCACCAAGGATCGCAGTCCATGACCAAGAAAACTGAAGTCAACTTCGAACATTCCTTTATCTATATCATGATTTTTACTCATTTATTATTTGTCATTTTTAAACCAAATATTCATAAAACTTCACATCTAACTTGATTTATATAAAGCAGAAAAGACATCTCAATTCATATGAATGTAAGCATGAGGAAATTTAATATATTGGCAGCAGTATTAGAAATTCAATAAAAGGATACACATGATGAGCAATCTCTAATCTACTGTCACTGGAAAATCCACATTATGAAAACATAAACAACAAAAACTGGTTAGGGAAGTTTGATAGTTTGGTAAGTGTGGGTAGATTCTTATATTTTCAAATTTCTTAAATATACAAGAGGGTTTTAAATTGTTTTCTACATAGCTAACCCCCTTGTTCCCTTTTCCACTCTAATATTACTAAACACAAAAGAACAACTGAAATTCTGGTTCCCAGGAGACATGAATTCTACAGTAAGAGCTTGTGGAGCTACATTGTCTCTAGTAAACAGCCTAGCTAGAAACTAATGTTTCTAGAGTCTGTATTTCCCCCTCTTCTCTCTGTATGGTATCAATGCCCAAGCACAAAAGAGGTGGTGTGAGGACAAAGAGATGAGCACTGTTTAATACAAAATTTAGAAGTCCCTATGTCCGCAGCAGGGCCCATTGGTGGTGCACTCCGGAGGCAGAGGCAAGTGGATGTCTGTGAGTTCAAGGCCAGCCTGGTCTATATAGTGAGTTCCAGGCCAGCTGGGGCTATGAGGAGACCCTGTCTCAAAGAACAAAAATATTAAAAAGGAAAGAAAAGTCCTGTGTCAGAGCTTTGGGGAGAAGATGGAGCTGATTTTCTTTGGGCAAAACAACCAAGACTGAGTTCTTTGGGCCACAAGAATAATGCCAAGCTCCAGGCTGAGGATAAAGGGCCCACATCAGACTTCTGGAAGCAAGAGACCAAGAGGAGGTCAGAAAAAGAGTTAACTGTATGGCTGATCAAGAGAATTAAGAGATGGAAAAGAAAAGTATAAACAGTAGGAAATAAAAATAATGATGGGCTGGGGAGATGGCCTAGTGAGGAAAGGACTTGCCATGCAAGTGAGTGAGACATGAGTCTGAGTCTCAAGAACCCATGTAAAAGCTGGACATGCAGTTGTGACATCTGTAATTGCAGTACACCTACAAAGAGATGTGAAGTGAAGACAGGAGAAACTCGTGAGCCAGCAGGCTGGCATACACAGTGGCAGCAAGACCCTGCCTCACACAAGGTGGAGGATGGACTCCCAAGGGTGTCTTCTGAATTCTACAAAAGTGCTATGACATGCATGCACCCATGTTCACATACATGAATGTGCTCTGATTTACACACACACACACACACACACACACACACACACACACGGCACATGCACAGAACAATGAGAAGACTATACAAGTAAAAGATTTCAGGGAAACAATAAACACAGTTACTATATGCCCTCAAATTTTACTCATGAATACATTATTTAAGAGGAAATAGAAACCTATGGCTACATAAGATCTTATACAGGAATTTCATATTAGCTTTAATCATAACAGCCCAAATATCTACCAACTGGTGAATGAACAATAGAATATTAATTGGCGATAAAAAGGAATGAAACGCTTACACACTCAGCATGGATAGACAAAGGTGAAAAGGCAGTTACAAAAGAGCACACATTGATAAAACTTATACAAAATGTCCAAAGCCCTAGAACAAGAGAGCAGCATTTGCCAGGGGAGAGGAATGGAAGTGACTGATACTGGGTGTGGGTTTCTTTCTGAGTCAACAGAGTTGCTTAAAAGAACTGTGGTGGAGCTGGAGAGATGGCTCAGCAGTTAAGAGTACTTGCTGCACTTAAAGAGGATCCGGGTTCTGTTCCCAGCACCCGCTGTCTCCAACTCCAGTTCTAAGGAATCAAGAGATGTAAAGCCCTCCTATGTTTCTTTTTTTTTTTTAATTTAAAGTTTATTTTTATTTTATGTGTATGAGTATTTAGCCTGCATTGTATATAAGTGTACCACATGTGTGCAGTGCCTGCAGAGGTCAGAAGAGGGTGTTGGATCCCCCGGAACAGGAGTTATGGATGGTTGTTACCCTCTTTGTGGATGCCGAGTACAAATCTAGGTCCTCTGTAAGACCAGTGCTCTTAACTCCTGAGCCATCTCTCCATGCCCCTGATGCCCTCTTCTGGCCTCCACAGACACCAGGCATGCGCACATGGTGCACTTACATACAAGCAGGCAAAATACACACATAAAAATAAATCTTTTTTTAAAAATTGGACTGTGATGTCAGCTGGACAACCATGGCTACACTACTGACTTGTAGACTTATAAAGATAAATTTTATGCTATGTAAACTATATGTATGTGAGGTTTATATACTTGAATGCAGTACATCCAAATGTATGCCAAGTACTATTATGCTCACATGTCATCAATACTTTGCTGTAGCATTACAAATATTTACTATTGTAAATTATTTGGAGGGGAAAAATGCATAGAGAAAGTGCTATTATGGCTCACACCTGTAATTCTAGCCCTTGGGAGGATGAGGCAGGAGGACTGTAATGTCTTTGAGGGTAGTCTGGGCTACAGAGGGAGACCCTATCCAAAATAGCAAAAAGTAAAGATTAAATAAGTCCTATTATAAGGTATCAAACTGGGTTTTTGCACTGTGATAGACTAGACAGTCCAATAAAAAGACAAAAAGGAAGTATATATGTGGCTTTCATTTTTAATAAATGATAATTTTTAAAATATTAATGTGACCTTGTATAAAGGAAGATAATTAGGGATACTGAGATAAAAAGTTAAGCATTAGAGAAACGGAGGGAGAGGACAGGGTTAGTGAAGACCACTAGCCTTAAAAGATAAGCAAAACACACCTTCCTCCTATGGAAGGCTAACCTGAAGTGCTTGGTTAAAAATCTGCATGCCCACAGGCAGTAACCTAGAAAGTAACATTTCCTTTCCTTCACAACATGTCTTATGCCCAAATAAAAAAAGGGTTACAGGAATTTGAGATTTTTAGTTCTGAGAAATATCAAGACTCCTAAAACTCATAGAATAAATCAAATTATAGCCTAAAAGACTCCACTAAACAGTACTCTTTAAACTTTGTTTTATGTTACCTAACACTATCAAACAGAGATATTTATTGCTGAAAGCTCAACAGTCATCTCATTTTATTCCTTCTGTTGGCATCAGAAGGAAGATAGAGAAAAGTCTCTACATTTGTGGACAAGAAGCTAATGATTCTACAACCTGATGAAATGATTCTATAGCTTGACTCTGATGACAGTGGTGGCTGCCCAACTAGCATGAGTTTTTCAAAATTCTAAAAAAGGTAAGATTTCACTTTTTGTAAACAGAGCTCTAAGCTGGTTGTGGTTATACATGCCTATATCCCAGGACTGCGGAAGAAGATCCAAAGTTTCAAGCCAGGATACACAGTGAGACCTTGACAAAAACCAACCAAACAACAACAACAAAAATATCACACAGGGCTGGAGAGATGGCTCAGCAGTTAAGAACACTGGCTGCTCTTGCAGAGGACTCGAGTTCAATTCCCAGCACCCATATGGTGGCTTACAACCGATCATTAAGTCTAGTTCCAGAGGATCAGAAGCCTCCTCTAGCCTCCATGAGCATTGCATGACACAGGTGCACTTTCATACATGCAGGCAAAACATTCATACACATAAAATAAAAATAAATATAGATGAGAGGAATAAAAATAAGTAAAACATTTTTTAAATGCGTGTGTGTATTCACGCCCCATCCCATAAATGATGAAAATGTATTTTTCTGAGAAATTTAACTTTTAAAAATTTCTCGTGTATCATCTTTATTTCCTCCAAGCTGCTTTCCTTCTTCCAGTGTATTCTGGGAAGGATCTTCAGTGCAAGTTTTCCTTACACATGAGGTGATTCCTTACTGTCCACCAGGGGTGGAGTTCTAAAAAAGCTGACTATAGTGCCTTGCCCAAAGGTAAGGGTATAACAAAGGCACTCCCGTTCTTTGTGAAGCCATGATCCTGGCTTGTGGGATGCTAGTCAAAGCCAATAATCTGCAGGAAAGCTCTGCTCCTCTTCAGTCTCCAAATAACATGTGAATATTTGCATAGCTCCCCTTGCTTGCAACAGGGACTCCCCCTCCTCCCCCCACCAAACATTTTAACTTTAGGCTGAGTCTGTCATTGTGGGAACTTTCCATATAACCCTCCCAGAGATTAAGTCCACATTCTCCTACAGATATAGAACAACAAAAGCAGTTATACTACATGAAAGCAGAGGACTCAGTGCTGCCACCTGATTGAAATATAATTCACTAAACAACAACTAGCCTTTTTTTCTTTTTTGGTCTTTTTGAGACAGGGTCTCCCTATAACCACCACTGGCCTGGAACTTACTATGGAGACCAGGCTGGCCTTGATCTCACAGAGATCCACCTGCCTCTGCCTCTGGAGTACTGGGATTAAAGGCCTGTGCCACACACCATGCTAACAACTGACCATTTTAAATAAAGTACAGAAGCAGTGCAGCTTACATTTTAATTCATTACAAACCCTGAACACATTTAGCAGTCATTCTCCATTCCTGTCTTTCCCTAGTCCCTGACAACTGGCTGTCTGCCTATGGACCTACCTGTCCTACAAATTTCCCATCAATACCACCACACAGCATGTATCTTTTGGGACTGGCTCTTTTTACTTGCTTTAATGTTTTTAAGCTCCATCCTTTCATGTTTCAGTACTTCCACCTTTTTACAGCTGAAGAGTATTCTACTGTAGGGAAATAATGAATTTATCTGTTGATGGACACTGGGTTGTTTCCTGGTTTTGTAAATGTATACACTGTGACTAGTGTAGCTGAGTCTCTGCAAGTACTTGATTGAACTCCTCTGTTCCATGGCTGAGAACATACCTAGGAGTGTAGCTGCCAGATCATACAGGAATCTATGTTTTAATTAGTCTCGTGACTTTTTAAACAGACTTTCAACCAGTGCTTGTTCTTTAGCCCCACTCTTAACAGACTTCCAAAGGGGCTTCAGGTCACCTCCTAAATCCGCAAGGATTCCACAATCTGTTGTTCAGTGTTTACTACAATGCTCTCTTAGGATCCAACTTTTTCACGCTGCCTGGTTCCCTTACTCATCTGGCTCCCAGTTGCAAAGCTGTTGCTGCTCTCTCTTCTCCCATTCTCTTTGTCCTTGTGGGTGTATTCCTTCATTCTCTCACGTTTCTGTCTTAAAATGTTGTTTTTTAGGATTTTAGTAGGAAGGGAAAGAATAAAGCATATTCAATCCCCTATCTTAACTAGAAATCTTTGGTGTTTTTATTATAATCCATCTACTCCTACCAATTCAATTTGAATGCTTCTCATATGCAAAGTATTTACTGTGGGAGATATAAGCACGTATGATAAAGGCAACATCTGTTTTCAATAAGCAGATAAACTAGCTAAGGAGATGTAGTAATGTGAAGGTCATTTCATATATATGTTTAGTGTTTGTATGAACATTACAATTCTCTTATATTTTAACATAGCAAACTTATAGAAGATTTACATCAAAGCTTTTTCTGTTGCTGTAACAAAAATCCTGGCACTGGGCAATGTACTTAAAAAAGAAGTCTATTCAATTTATAGTTGTAAAGGTAGAAAGGCTAAGATTGACTAGCCTCGTCCATTTGGTTAGGGTTGAATGGATCACAACATGGAAGAAAGAGAAAAAGTCATATGCAGAAAGGGCAAAACACATGGGGTGGCCATGCTTTATAACAATGAACTCTTATGAAAACTAACTCACTCCAAAAGACTAGTCTTTACCCCTTCAGAGAATAATATCTTCATGATCCAAATTCCCAAGAGCAGACCCTTTCCTCTTTTGGGTTTTATCATCTATCAACATTGCCACACCAGGGAACAAACTTCTATCACATTAACCTGGAGAGAAACCACATATAAACTATACCAGGTAAAGTCTACATTTCTAGGGTCTGAGGTCTGAAATCAAATATGAAGTCATCTTAGGCATTAATCACCAGGAAGATGCCAGGCAGAAATAAAACTTGAAAAAAAAAGTAGGCCCTAGGAACCAAGATGGGAGACTCCAGCTTCTTTGAATATTTGTCTTCAGACTAGACTTTGAAGACTCAATTGTCTAGGTAGATGTTCTGAGGTGGCATATATTAAAGACCATCACTGCCACACAGGATCAAGTTGAGCGAGAAGGAAGGCACGCCTGCAGTGAATCACAGACTGAAAACACAGCTAGCTACACTCTGACATCAGTAATTAGAGCCAGACAGTGGCTGCCTTGTCAGTTCTGTCTTCATAGGGTCTTCTTGGAATGTTGTAATCTGGCTTCACCTACAGTTCTGTGACACTTATGTGCCCACATGGGATGTGATTAGGAAGAAGCAGCAGTCTCCCTAACACTGGGAAGCGTGAGGGACTGCTGCCTCCCAGAAACTACGGCAACGTTCTGTTGGAAGATACCCTTTCAAAGCTAACTTAGGAAGTTCTTTCATTATTTTTAGAAAAGAAAATATTTCTTTTAAATATTATATACATAAATATTAAAGACACTCACAGAATACATGGCTTCTTTGGGCCTTAGTTTCTTCATCTATAAAGTAGGAATAATAATAATGTCCCACAGAGCAGTTGTGAAGATAACGGCATGTATCTAACACAGTGCTTCATACACACTGAGTAAAAAAAGATCAGGATTGGTGATCCCCACTCTGATGACTACCCCTCTTATCATGATCATCACTAGCAGTTTCAAGGCAAGCACCAAATGAGTGCAAGGGAAGAAGGGAGAACCGGGCTGAGCTGCTGTGATGGGGGAAACAAGACTTGAGTTTAAGAAGATAGTCTAGTCAGGAGATTGCCTTATGCGACAAATAACCAAAAGGGATGCCACAGGGACTTCTGGATGTTTAAGAAACAAAAAGGAAGAAAATAAATTTTTAGCTTTAGACTAATACAAAACTTTTCAAAAATATATCTCCAGGCAAAGAGTTCAAAAATAGCCTGTGAAATTACCTAAGAGCAAAAATTAAAACATCCATCACTAAGAAAATAACTGAGACATCCTCCACTACACAGAAAGATGCTCAGTCTAGATCTAATATTCTACTTAGACCAACTGCATCCCCTAGATGTATCTAAGAATTTGTGGTTTCTTCAAATATAAGAATTTAACTATTCCATACCCTAGACCTCAAAGAAATCAAATAGAACTAAAATAATAACAGGCTTTTAAAAACAATGTAGCATCTCCTGACACCCTCAATTACTGCTGAGAGAGAATATTAAATTGTCAAGCACTTAGCAATAAACTAAAGTCTACATATGTTCACTCCCTGGAACTACAATTTTTTTATGTTTCTATGGTACTTATGGCCAACAAAATGTATAATAATTTTATAGTAATAAAAACAGAAGACCTTAGAGTATTCTATTGTTTTTATTATTGAACTCTGGCCTTTAATTTTAAGACTTTCTATATTAATTTTTCAGCATTCTCTAGAGTACTATGTGGTATTTAAAAATCACAAGAGCATTCTTCCTCTTTTTCATAATTACTAGGATTAGTTTAATTAATAACTTTCTAAAGTGTCAATTTTCATACATAAGACAGAGCTTTTACATTTTCATGGATACTTAAGATACTTAGCTTGCCACATATAAAAATCCCAAATATCAAAATTCGAGGCTTGCTGATGGGCCACAGCTTCTCACCTGCACTTCTGAGGTTAGGATCCAGCCCAGGCATCTCTTTGTTAGCCTCAGGGCTGACGCTGTAGATAGAGGCTCCTGCTTCACTGACGATACTGAGAAGAAAGAAAAGCGGGAACATTATTTTCCAAACGCTATATGTGGTCAAAGAAAATAAATGAATGAAACTAAGTATTATAATGAAGACTAGCAAGGCAAAGTGCTCTCCTCTGATCTCAGTGACACCTACAGTATCTATTATTCCATCACAGAAAGTTAAGGTTAAGTCACGTATTTCTGCTTTTCTACAGAGTAAGCACATAGGTTTAAATCCATGATGAATTCATTCTGTTATTTTCTCTGTCACCAGTAACAAGAGACAGCTTATAGATGAGCACAATGAATACTTTCCTGTGATGCCAACTGCAAAACTACCAGAATCTACTTAGCTTCTCCTGTGTTTAGAATGCATTCTTGACTAACAGTTATAATTCCCATTTGAATTAATCACCCTAAGCATTTTGGGAAGTATACAGTAATATGTGTGAGGGGTAATAGGCACCAAAACACCATTGCCATAAACACTGTTACTATTATTACCTAGTTATGATTAACTACCACACATGGAGAAAAAAAGATCAGACAGGCAATCACTCCACTTCCTTTCAGGAGGGTCTGGCATCATCCTTTCAGTAAACTTGAAGACTTTCACTTCAGGCAGGTACTAAAGCACTCCATACATCATTTATTTAATCAAAACATCACATAAATTATCCTTTTTCCTTTCTTCTGTGGCTCCAAACACTTCACAATCCACAATGAGAACATTCTTATAGATGACATTTGTATGATGGTTGACATTCATGTGGTTCATCAAACATTTAAAATTGGAGTTCTCCTTTACAACTTAACACTCAAAGAAAGGCTATCTACTCTTAAGCATCACAAGCCTTTTGGCTCTATCACATCTAGGTGTGAAGATTGAAGACAAACATGTTAGTACTCAATTTTGATTTCACTTTTGGCAACTTCTCTCCTTCCAAGCTCCTCAAAATCTGCTTCAATCGTCTGAGATAAACTTTCTGGATAGGTTTTAACATTTGCCCTGTGGTAAAAATCAAACACAGAAATAAAATGTGGAAGACTCTTAATTGAATTGAGAAGATTATTTTAGAGTCTGACATTGGGAAAAAGGAGCACTGCAACTGAAAAGCACAGCTTTGCCACCAACAGGACAGTGTAAGAGGCAACAGTGCAAACTACAGAAATTACCATAATTAGCGGATTAGGTCCTGTTTTATAGGCAGGCAACGTACTCAAGGTTATGGCTGACAAGCAGCTGAGCTAGATTTGGATCCTAACCAGCCTGATCCCCAAGCAAGAGCTCTTGACCACCACGAGTGAATAACTGCTAACTAACTGCACAGCTTTCATGACTGTGATAACCTAGTTTTTGTGCCAAACCACAAGTGCAACATCTTCTCTAGAGCCACTTTGACAACAGATCCATAAGAACTCCTATCTCTCTTCTGGTGTCTTTATCAAAGATGAATGAGCTTCATTTTCATAAGTATCCTTAGAAGAAGATCAAACGTATAATTTCAGGGACCAAGTTTAAAATAAAAGTAAATTGTACTTTTCCCCCCAAAAGTAATATTATTCTCATCTTTTACTACATAATGATCAGGAAGTTCCAGACAACAATTGAGAAGCTAATTTTAAAAAATGGTACCAGATACAACACACACACACACACACAATAATAATAACAACAATAATACGTAAATAAAATGAAGGAAACACACACCAGCTAAATGGCTAAGCAGGTAAAATGCTTGCCACCAAGTATGAGGACCTGAGTTCAATCCCTGGAACCCACAGTGGAGAGTGGAAGGAGAGAACTGACTTCTGAAGTTGTCCTTAGACCCCCCACAGGCATGCTATGGCATGTCCATACATTCTAAATTTAAAAAACCTTTTAAAAACAAAGTGGTAACTATTAGTATGGCAAAGTAACAAGCTGAAAAAGTAGCACGCTAGAAGTCATTTTCCCATTTCAGAGCAGCAGCTTCTGAACCCAGAGCCTTTGGACTACTAGCCAGGGAGAAGCAGGCTTATTTAAAATAACACACAAAATGTTTGTGTTCATGCAAACGCTGCCCTAAAAAAATGGATTCTAGCTATCACTGGTTACTTAAAGAAATTCACGACCTCCAAAAAGGTTATGAAACATTACCACAGGATAAGAATATTTAGCAACCAGCTATAAAAATTCTATTTCAACACAAATCAACATTCAAGCTAATGAAGCCCTTTCTAAAACAATCTGGAGTAAATTCAGGCTTCGACTGGATAGGCCTTTAATAAAAATCACTGAGGACACGAAACTGGGTGGGAAGTAACAAGGGGAGTGCAGACAGGGGAGGGGTCTGAAGACCATCAAATACATTTATAGGAAATTCTCAAAAATTCAATAATATTTTTAAAAGAATATTTTTTAAAAATCTCACCACAATTTTATTTTCTATTATTTCCAGAAACTTCCAAAGTTATGACTATTTAAAAGAAGGGAATTTAAATGAAGGGAAGTTAAAATTTTAATTAACTGTAGCCTTTAGTAGTTGGGTACCTGAGAATTTGTTGGGTGATTCACTGTCTCTCAGAGGTTATAATTCTCAATAAACTGAGGGAAACTGTTACAAAAAAACCCACTCAGATAATAAATAGTCTTCCAAATTCCACACTGCCACTTCTTTAAACAGAGGAATACAAAACAGATGTGACACATTGCACCTAAAGATTTTAGATTAACATTAGTATTAAATCAATACAAAATGTAGAAAATTTCATATGCCATACTTACTGAATAGTATAGGTCCAATAAACAGGTCAACACTAATCATAGATCAGAAAGCTTAAATAATCCAAATGAACAAAAAAAACTTCAAGACGGATTACATCAGTGTAAAACATGTAAGGAACTAAGAAGTGTATGTGGCAAGAATTAAATACAGAGTGGAGATGATTTTTTCCCCAGGAGAACTTGCCAAGAACAAAAGCTGTAACGCTCCTCTTCCCACCTTTTCATTCCTGTTTAGAGTTCAATGACAGATATTCAGCAGTAAGGCACTTTCTATTTAATGGCAAGTTTCCCAATCAACTACAAGGGATTATCCCAATGATCTGTAATATACTGAATAAAACAAAAGTGAACTTTGTAAAAGTTTCATATGCAATAGTTAGTATTACATTTAAAAAGTAAATTTCTCTTTATTATAAACTAGCCTCAAAATCATAGCAATTTGATTATTTTGTATACTTGACCAAAAAAACAAACAGGACAAACCAGAACTTAGTATTTGAGGAGATTTTAAGTGATGAAGTTGTAGCTAAAAATGCTTGAAGAATCTCTTAGTGTTCTAAAGGTCCTTCACCAGCACAGCTAAGACAAGCAACTAAATCAGGATCGAAGGTCTTGAGCTTGAAATATACAACGGTATATTTCAGAAGCTAATGTTGGAGCTACATTTTACCAGATCTATTAGGTTCATACACTAATTCTCTAGAATTAAAATGATAATTTCAGAAACATTTTAAGCATTATTTGGGGGATCTTCTGGGTCTTTTTATGTTAAAAAAAAAATCAAACCACATCTTCAAAAGCACCCACAACACAGAAACATTTCCTTTCAGTTCACTAAAGTGCCCCAAAACTCTGTAAATAAAAATGCTGCATTTTGCTTCCTCAAGTAAAATTCAATGATAGTTTTATGTAAAATTCATCATAAATTAAAAATTGATCATATTTTTTAAAGATACATTTAAGTTTCAGAATTGATATCTCCGCAATTCTACTAAAGTAGACTGCATGCTGATAAAGCCAAGTTTGTAAGTACTTGTGTCGTTACCATTCAGACGGTAAGAGAACATGGCGCCTTCACTTTGTTCTTTACTAAACTGAGATGGGAATGTGAAATTTTTTATTTGCTTGCTTAATTTTTCTTGAAGTTACTGTTTTCACATTTATTTGAAAGGCTACATGGAGCTTCTGCACAATTCTCTCTCTCTCTCTCTCTCTCTCTCTCTCTCTCTCTCTCTCTCTCTCTCTCTCTCCATTCCTTTCTATAGCACACAGTGCAAAGGATAAAAGATCCCCTGTCTGTCCCCTCCTGTTTTGTCATGATAAATCTCACCCACAAAAGGGTGGAGACATTAGTGGCTTTAAATCTCTCTCTCTCTCTCTCTCTCTCTCTCTCTCTCTCTCCATTTTCCAAATATGAAAATAGCATTACTGTTTCCCTTGATTTTGAAATAAATTATTTACTGCCTTATGCTACCAGAAGAATTTAATTTAAAAATTTTACTCAAATAAAAACAGTAAGTGAGTATCAAAAAAAATCTGCCAGGACAGGATTCCCATACTAATACACACTGGTGTGTTTCTAAGTCTTCATAAAACTCTATTGGGATTACTTCTTTTTTGTGTACAAAAAACAAAACAACACTGCTGAACAGCTACTATGCTGAAAGGCTAGCTCCTTTCACTAAAGTCTTAAAAATAATTTGTCTAAAAGCAGCCCTTCCAACTTTTCAGATTGGAAGTATTCATAGAGAAGTTAAGTGAGTTCATTAGTCTCAATGAATAATAGAAAGCATTAAAATATTAACCAAAATATTTTAATTCTTTCATCTACACATAAATTAATCTAGTGTGACGTATAAATAGATTACTGCTTATATTTTAAGGGTAGGTAATAAGCCCCAAACTCAAACCGCTATAAACAGAAGGGGCTCTGGGTCTTAATGCTTAAAAGGGTACAGCTAAGCTGTTTTAAATTCCTTTATTTAAAGGGGCTTATCATTTCAGGGAGTCTCAAATGAACATTACTTTATCATTTTAAAAATTAAGATAGGGGTCAGAGTTAGGGTTAGTGTTAAAAAAAATTAAGATAATCTACTGGGGTATGGTAGTGCATACCTGTAAGTCCAGCACAGGAAGGCTAAGGCAGGAAGATCACAAGTTCACGGCCAGCTAGGCTATGAGGGAGACCACATCTCAAAACAGCAGCCAACTAACCAAACAAAATCATCATCAAGGACAACAAAAACAGGGATA